GTGCTGGGATTGAGCCCCGCATTGGGCTCTCTGCTTAGTAGGGAGCCTGCTTCCCCCACCCCCTCTCTCTGCCTGCCTTTCTGCCTACTTGTGATCTCTGTCAAATAAATAAAATCTTTAAAAAATATTGCCAACTCTTTCTTGTTTGAATGTTTCTGCATTTTTGTTTCTTTTGTTTTTAGCCTCTTTGCTATATAATTTAGGATACAGTGCTGGCAGATTATGAACAGAGTTTGATTTTATTTTTCACTAAATCTGAGTCTAAATTAAGAAAGATAAACACATTCATGGTTTCTGTTTATTTCTTATGTGTGTGATCTTCTATTCTAGTGCATGATCCTATGATATAATTTCTCTTTTCTTGTAGCTTTTTCCCTAATTTTTGTGCTCTTTATGTATTAAAATTTACACACAATGTTTTAAATTCCATTAGAAGACACATTTAAGTTATTTTTTAATAAAAATCATACTTAGACTTATAGTTATCCAAAACATTAATGCCAATAACAAAATAGTGTCTATTGGTTTTCCCTTGTAAGAAACTACATTGCTAGCTCTCCTGGTGGCAGTGAAGTCCTGTGATGTGGAAAAATGGGGACGTCAGCTCTGAGTGGAAACATGAATAGAGGAATAGGACCCTGAAGTGGAACCAAATTTATTTTTTACTTCTATTTCCCTTTTTTTAATATGCATAAGAATGGCATATGATTTAAAATTCTATACTTCTATAAGCCTTAAAAAGGTATCTCTATTAATAGAACAAGAATGTCAAGTGATCCAATACCATGTCATTGTTAAAATAGCAGAGAACTAAAATAATGGTGTGTTTAGGATGGTGTCACAGATGAGAAGAAATCTTACGTGTTTTTTTGAAAACCTTTTTTTCTGCATGGAAAAGGAAGGCTGAGATCACTGTTTGAACAACAGAAATCCTAAAAGAGGTATGTAAGATTGGCCACGCCTCACTGCAGAGAGGAGGTTGCACCTGGTGACCTGGGCTGCTAGGGTGTGTGGGACAGCTGGGGACTCTGCAAGGGCCCCTGGGCCACCTGCTGGGGTCAGAGCAACGGGCTGACTTCTGGGCTTTTACTGCGACTGATGGGGGTATCATGATCTGTGGGCAGTTGGGACAGAGTAGCACTAAAGTGAGTCACCCCCAAAGAGAAATTTCTCTTCTTCTCCTCTTGTGGAGCCCAGACAGATCTCATCCTTATGTCAGTGTGTCCCTAAATCTCTGCAGAGGAAGCATATCTAGGTGACCCGGGTGGCTATATCCAGACAGCAAGGACCCCAAGGGGCACAGGGTCTTTTAAACCACACTGATGACAAGGAGATGTGGTGGGACTTGTGTTGGACACAGGGACCTCTACGGCACCACCCGGTTATTGTGACAATCTTCCTATTTCATCAGCCCCAGAGGCCTGCTTGATAGCAACTCACCGTTGCCAGGTTAGTGACCTGAGAACAGAGACCAAGGGCCGGGATTGTCCATCTCTATGAATTTTCTTCTTTGCATTAGGAGTTGTGGGCTGAAAGTTGACTTTAATCTTTGGCTCAGCCTCTATGGCAAGCACATATCCTTCGTAGCTTTCAAGGGCATTCATGAGACACCCCATGGCATGAGCCATGTCTGCTTCAAGTGCTTGGGGGGGCTCTCTGGGTAGTCTTTTCTGGATACTATCTGTATCCCAGCAAAACAGATCCCATTTGGTGCTCTTCTCTGCCCGACCTCCAGTTTCTCATCTCCAGATGCAAACTGTGGGAGGGGGTTGGTGGAAATCTTTCAGGGTCTCCTGGTGATTTTTTTTCTCTGGAGTACTGGTTGCAAGCTGACCTTTGATAGATTCCTTTAATCTGGTCCCAGGTAAACGATAGCTTGACTGTTTTTTAAAAAGTGTTACCATACGGACAGCATCCTTCCTTAGTTTCCCACTGTGATGCAGACTTTTCCTACTTTTATGTTTCTTTAGTCATTTCAGGGGGGAGCTGATAGACAATGGAGGAAGTCTTTGCTCTAGTTGTGTGTTTGGGTGCTTTTTTTGCTTTTTTCTTTTGAACAGAAGTCTGGTCATCCTGCATCTTCCTGCATCTTACAAAGAGAAACACTGTGAACGTTGGTAGTTGACTATTTGGATCTGAGCATGTGGGGACATGTGGGTGAGAAATATGAATCTGAGGAACACAGCCCGTGGTGGCAGTCAAGTCACAGGAATAGCAAAGACTGCCTGGAAAAGGTTTTAAAGTCTTGTAGATCACTGGTCCTTCTCCCAGATTCTAAATTAGCAGGCCTATGGGTCCCAAGAATCTACCATCTTTCTTTTTTTTTTTTTAAGCTTCCAAATAAAGATTTCTAGAATTGGGTATTAAGAGAAGAACTTACAAGACAATGCTCCCAGGATGGTCCTATTTAGAGAAGAAAGGTTTATGTCTGTTACATATAGATATGTGATAGGGATGGAGGCAGAGTCCTCAACTGAAAAAACTGATGAAGGTTTTGAGAAGTCACTATGAGGAAGAAGCAGGGATACTGAAGGAAAACGTAAACAAAGTGAGAGGGCAGAGAAAGTTTGACACCAACACACATGATCGCGCAACTTTCTCCATCCTGCCCTGAAAGCTGAGGATAGACGTGGAGATGATGAGTGGAGTTAGGTGGAGTTGGGTGAATCAAGGGACAAGTGGAGTTGGCTTAGTGGAGTTGGGTGAATCAGGGGACAAGGGCAGGACACCAAGGGCTATAAGAATCTGCTGGTGTCTGACCACAGCCTCCAACCATTCAGTTTCCTGAGACACTAACCTGTTCCCAATACAGCTACTCTGGGCCTCAAAACTGCCAGTCCCTGCTGCCACCTGTCCCTCCTCTCTTGGGCCATGTACCCCTCTTTCACTAACCCAGAATCCAGGTACATCACCTCAGTCACTCTCTTGCTGTTAGCCCTCAGGAAATTAAATAGTTTAAGGTCAAACCACTAATAAATGGTGAGATTAAATCTGAACTCAGGCCAGTCCAACTTTTTTGGTTTTTTTGTGTGTGTGTTTGTGTCTTGGTTTGTTTCAGACCACTACTTTATATGACCGCTGTGGGTGGCACGGTGATGTCTCACCAGACACTGTTTAATGAGGGACTGTACCCCAGCAGTGGGGACTGTGATCAGCAGACTGGACTTCCGCTCTTAGGCCCCCCAGGGACGCCTCAGCTGCAGAGAACTGCCTCACCCAAGGGCACGCCCCTTCCTGGGCAGCACCCGTCTTGGTGAGGGATCAATGCAGGCGTATAGAGGCCTGGCCTTCTCAGCCCAGCTTGGAACGACTCTGAAGGAAATTTCTGTCTCCAGAGCTCCCTGTGGAGTCGACTAAAGCTGTCCTTGGGCCCACATTTGAGCTTACCTTTTCCTTCTCCCTTCCTGCTCCCTGCTCTCTCCTGCTCCCTTCCTTCCTCCCTCCCTTCTTCCACAGGTATTGATCCCAAAGGTCCTCCTCAGTAAACATGCTCCATGTTAAGTACTCTTTCAGAGTCTGTTTCCCAGGGAACCCAGTGTGCAACAGCCTCTCAAGGATACAAGAGCCAGACTTTCCTATTACAGAAGTTGTATGGCTTCTCACATTTCCCAGAGACCCTCTGAAGTGTTAGTGAGAACTGTCAGGTCCAGATGAAGCTGGATGTTCCTTCCCCTGTGTCACTGTGACCATGTCTAGTGTAGTGTTTGGATTTCAGGCATATAGGGCTCAAGAGAGATGGTTTAAATCTGGGGCTCAGTGACACACATGGCCCCGGACTGGGGAAGTGGCCAGCCTGCTGCTTAAGTTTTGCTGTTTCCTCTTTCCTTCCCGGTCATCCTGAGAGGAGTGTGGGCTTGGAATTCCGAATCCTGACTGCCAGTTTTAGACAAGCATCAGATGAGGTAACTGAATTTTTAATGCTCACATCTGCTCGCCATTGCACGGTGGCCTTAGCAACTTAAAAGTAAAAATGTGACCTGGGCCAAAGCAGACAAATTTCAGGTTCATTGTTTCCTTTTATTTTAATAGAATAAACAGTCAAAACATGTAAAGAAAAAAAAAATCAACTCATCCATCATAAAAGAAATTTGTTGGTTTTTCAATGTGATTAGATATTACAGGAATATTAATAAAATGAAAAAATCAAAACTTGTACATTATACACAACACACAATTTTGTAATTTTGTCAGTTTCTCCACTTCACCTTTTAATTATTCCTTACAATCCATACAATCAGTATATAGAGTAACTAAGTATATGATTCAGGATATATTTCTTTATAATGGTTTGAAAATTGGTGGTGTTTGGTTTTCAATTAGAAATCTACAAAGATCTCTCTCATCTGTGCTAACCACTTCATTAGAAACAAATATGCAAAGTCATCCTACGATGGAGATTCCAAAATATTTAGCAGGCAAAACAAATTTTATATATTAAAAATGGAATCTAGTTCATCTAATCGGAACATTGTCACCTTCTAATCCAGCTGACATACTCTTCAGTCAGCAGCAAATTGAGGCCATAGGTTATCAATGATCGCTCAAATCTCTCTAAGTATATACGCTGTGTTACATTAAATAACCTTATTTAGGTAACTGCTTTAAACATTTTGTAGACTCAAGGACTTCTTAAAGTTTTCAGTTATTGATTTTCAAATCTTCTTTGTAGGTATAAGCCTCTCAGAAGGCCAAGCATAATCGTGGTTCCTGCCCAGCTGGTCTTTGCCTTTGATAACCACCCATGGTTACTCGACTAGCCTGTCAATAAGCATTTAATGAGGACCTGCTGTGGGGCTGAGGCCTCTACAGGGGCCTAGCAGCAAACACGAGATTAGGTTTGCCTGGAGAAGTTTACAATGAAGTTTGTGATTTTTAGGAGCACAAGCCAGCATGGTTTCTTTAATTTCCTTGTTTATCAACAACTGCAACAATAACGATGTTTTTCTAGGGGTGGCTTTATCTGAGGCTGATAGAAAAAAAGCAGCCCCCAATATATAATGAAAAAAAAAAATAATGCTGACATGGTTTATATGGAATCCTGTGCAATTGTCTCAGGTTTGTATATCCACAGATCAGATTTACAACATAAAGCACTAGAATGCGTTTCTTACTTATTCATACATGAAGTTAAGATGTGTTCAAATCTTTTCATGGATTAAGAATAAAATGTCAGGACATTTTTGTGGTTTCCTCTAACTAGTAAAACAGGAGGGAGGTTCTTGGTGAGGATTTCCAACCAAGCCATGTACAACCAATCGGATATAGATCCTTTTCTTGCCACTGGCAGGCTCCTGACAGTATGGAAGAAAAATTTTAAAAGCGACAATTACTACAGGCAGTAACATCACTAATCATCTGACCTATTTAATAACCAGTGACCTGAAACTTTTGTAACCCTCCCCCCAAACATGAAAGCACTGAAATTATCCTGAATATAGATATCAAACTGATGTATTTCTCAGATAAGACAAATTATCTGTAAACCAGAAAAACAGGCTTAGGCATTGTAAAGCAGCAACAAAACAGAACTATCAATTCTCACTCCTCTTGAAACAGAAAATGTGATCAACCAGTATCTTTTTTTTTTTTTTTTTTTGATGGAAATGATTCTCCCAATAGTTTAAAGCTCTTACATCTGGCAGAAACCTCAGAAAACAGCTAGGTGAAACCTTGTACCCAGTTCTGGAGACTGTTTGAGGCCTCAGGTGGGTAGTCCCCCAGTGTAGACCTTGAAGACATAGGACTCTTCATACACAGGCCTCAGGTCATGAGGTATAAATGTGAAAGAGGGGTTTTTCATGTTCAGCTATCAATCCTTAAAGAAACATTCCTATTTCCAGCAGTACACCTCGAACATTTGCGGGGTGAAGAGCAAGAGTATAAAGGGAAGAATCTTCTTCCTTCTTCTCTTACCTTGGCCTCTTTCAACACAGAGAGGAGCCTACCGATCATGCCGTGGAATCTACCTCAGGAGGACGCGGGGGAGGAGCCCGTGAGCCTCAGTGGCTGACGAGAGGCTTGTTGGGCGGGGATTCCAGGGGCGGGTTCCCGGGGGCAGGGTCGGTCGGAAGGGGGAGCCAAGGTTCTGCGGGCGGGGCCTCCAGACAGAAAGTCCAAGGGGCAGGGTCCCAGGGTGGCGTTATTTTCCTTCACTAAAATCTCACATGTTCCGTTAAAAAAAAAAAAAAAAAAGCTTTCCACCTGAATCATCATGACTTTTTAAGTCAATTAACCCATTTACCTAAGATCCCCCTTGGAACATTCTTCAATGTCTGCAGCGATACTTACAGGACAATGAGATTAGCGGCTCTGGAGTGCTCCTGTAACAGTTCGTTCAGTCGAACTTGGCGGTAGCTCTGTGGACAACATTCAGATTTTGTTGAGGGCAGTTCTACCCAGAATTACGGAGGAGAATCTATCTCCTTACCCCAAATTATGGAGAAGTAGGAAAACCTCACTTAAAAAAAAATTAGTTATTTCCTTCAGGTTTGGAAACTATTTTTTTAAAAAAGATTTTATTTATTTGACAGAGAGAGACACAGTGAGAGAGGGAACACAAGCAGGGGGAGTGGGGGAGGGAGAAGCAGGCTTCCTGCCGAGCAGCAACCCTGATGTGGGGCTGGAGCCCAGAACCCTGACATCATGACCTGAGCCGAAGGTAGACGTTCAACCGACTGAGCCACCCAGGCACCCCTGGAAACTCATTTTGTAAAAGCTCATGAGAAATTCTAGAATTATAAAGAATAAGACCAGGTGGTTGTTGTACTAGAGTGGCTTATTAAATTCTAAGGGGAAAAAAAAAAACGAGCAAAAAACATGGATAATAGTAAAGAGAAGGTTTTTTAAATCTGGAACAGGTTTGAGGGGGAAGAACTAACAATCTTGATACCAGTTTGATATTCTAAAAACATAAATTATATCCTAGTCTACATTGTTTAGGCTCTTTGAATATTTCATCAGCACAGGGGACTGGTTTCAACTAAAAGGCAGCCAAGACTCACTTGGAAAAAATAACAACATTGATGATTTTTACAGTGGTGAGAATAATACTTATTACTGTATTTCGATGGTTCAGAAACCAAGGCTTAGATGTATGATTTGCTCAATTACGTGAAATATCTTTGTTACAAGTGGGCAGTTTATTAAAAAGAGAGAGAGAGAGGCAAACCAAAAAGCGACTTCTAACTTCAGAGAATAAACTGAGGGTTGCTGGAGGGAGGTAGGCAGGGGATGGGCAAAGTGTGTGATGGGCTCTAAGGAGGGCACTTGTTGCCAGGAGCCCTCGGTGTTGTATGGAAGTGTTGAATCACTAAATTCTACACCTGAAACTGATATTATACTATATGTTAACTAACTGGAATTTAAATTAAAATGTGCAATTAGGGGCTCCTAGGTGGCTCCGTTGGTTAAGCGACTCTTGATTTCATCTCAGGTCATGATCTCAGGGTCCTGAGATAGAGTCCCACATCTGGCTCTGTGCTGGGCATGCAGCCTGATTAGATTCTCTCTCTCCTCTCTCTGCCCCTTTGCCAGCTCTCTCTCTCCCTCTCGTAAAAATAAAAAAATAAAAATTAAAAAAAAAAAATCTTCCCAACCCCCCTAATAAATAAACGAGCAAGCAAACAAAGAACTGAGAAGTTTATTATGCACAGTTTACAAATCTTAGCTCAGTATTTTCTCCACTGAATTTGAAAGGCTTTATTATCTCTTGTTCTAAATTGTTTCAAGTTCAGCCCCTAATGTAGTTTATTTATTATATCCCTCCTATAACATGTGCCTCATCCAACTTTCATAATCATTGTTCCAATTAAGTATTTTCTCAGATTGCTTTGTTAGTTTTTGTAACCTCATCATGTTAAAATTGTTACTGTGTTAAATTGTGAGTCAATTACCTTTATCTACTTTGCACACATATTGACTTGACTTAAATTATTTTAGACCCATGGATCTCTCTCCTGTTCTATAAAATTAAATTTGAAAGGAGACTTCACTATATATCAATAATCTGGTTTTTAAAAAATCTTTTAAAAAAAGAATTGATTTTATATTAAATGAAAGCCATTTTCTAAATCCTCATATGCAGTAATGTGATTGAAAGCACTTGAAAATGCAGAAACCGTAGATCTTGAATAATGAAATTCTATAACAGATGTGTTACTTGTTGATCTTTGAATCAACCACTGTTTTCTTTTTCAGCTAGTTAGACAGTAAAGTAAAAATTAAGACAAGTCCTTACCTTTTCCTTGACTGCTTCTAGTTCTGCATCTGTAATTTTCCATGGGCTTTCTCTCTTTAATTTCTCAGCAGTTGTTAAATCTTTGCAGCTTTCATGGAGACGATATGGTTCAATCATCTCTTCAAAGACTTTCCAGCTGAAATTGGAATTATAAAGGAGGGCTCACAGTGGGAAACTAACTCATTATTTCACAGATACTCCAGGTAGGACTGGCTCTGCTGGCTGCAGAATCAGAGCCGAATGTCATGGAAATCTTTAAGAATTATCTTTGCAGGGGACTTACTGTGAGTTAAGCCATGGATATAATACAGCATCCCTACCCAAGGAAAGGCCTTAACATGTTAAAGCCTTGTTAGCCTACTGTGTATTAGATTCTCAATCTAAACAGACCAACACACAGATAGTAATTATTCTGCAAATACATTTTCTACATGGTATAGCCCAAGACACCACTGTCATGTAGACACTTTAGCCCATAAGTAAGTTTCCATCTCCTTAAATTGAGTTTCCATCTGCTTATTGTACAGACTGTCTAGGAGGCATTCATGAATTAATGTGGGAGATGAACTAGGTTGCTTGCGATGGGAGTTGGCTAGGCCTGCCCTCTCCTTTGTCATGTAGCCTTCCGCTTGCTGGCAGATTGTGGTCAGTGGGGCAGCTAGAAGAATAGCAAATTCAGTGGTTATAGAGCAATTTGGATGTTTGCTGCAAATAATGCAACCTTTGTCCTTCTAATGACTACTGTTGCTGTCTGAGATTTTTAAGTAACTCTTTTTCAGGTACATGTTAAAGGAAAGAACAAAAATCAATAATATTTTAATGTCTACAGATCTGAAGCCATTTTAGAGCAATTAAGAAGAAAGTCATCAAGCAGAAAACTAGCAGCAGTATCACACAGCTGTGGAACGTTTTTAAAAGTGCTAGACAAATCTCATTCTTGTCTTTCATAAGAACCTCAAAGATTTTTTTTAAAAACAGTAGTACAGAACAAAGCTTACAGTTTATGAGAGTAATTGTCTTCAGTGTGCTACTAGAAGATGAGGTCAAATATAAACGACACCTTTGGTTTTATATAATGTGGCTTACTTACAACTTAGTAACTTTGGGATGAAAAGTAACTAGAATCAATGTGCTATTAGGTTATGGAATTAAAATATGATGGCATGAGTTCAATGATCTCATCGGTTGCCCTGATTTAGGATTTGCAGATTTAAGTGCAGAGGTGATAAAGGAGAACCTACCAGTGCCTTCGTTAAGTGATTGAAGAGATGCTTAATGTGGTAGATTTCTGACACTGATTTATTTCGAATGGTGGACAGCAATAGGGAACCACTGATATGCCCTATTATTCTTTCAACTACATAATACTTTTATTTGCTATTCCTTCCAAAGGTGCCATGCCTTCAGAGACCGGTCACAGTAATCTGTGCAATGGAAAGTTGCCAGCCTAGGACAGAAGAGCCTTGGCTCTTGCACTGGCTCTTCCTTTGTCCTCCTGGACCTGGATAACTTTACCAATGAAAGGAGGTAATGGTGGCTGCTCAGAGCTGGCCTGAAGATTGATGTAATGGTTAGATGATGATTTGGGTGACTGTGTTCTGGAAAGTGTACAGTGCCCTGTAAAACCAAGGCATTCATTTTACCAAACAGCCACGGAACTGAGTTTAGCAATTAAGAGGCTCTCTGTTTAAGCTCTACATACACTTATTTTGATCAGGATAAAAGTTTTTGCATCTCAGCCCAGGTGCTTATTAGAAAGCCCAGTTCAAAAGCAGTTTCCTAAGAAATGGAAGTGGAGTGGAGGTGGTTCATTATCTCCCCAGCAACCGTTGTAGTCTGGGTGGGAGTGACTCCATCCCCAGCATCAGCTAATCAGCACAATTCTATTCTGTCTGCCAGAGTGTTTGGCCAGGGTAGCCACATAACCCAGGCGAGCTTCACCAAGGGGCACCTAGCATTCCACTGACCAAGTAAGTGGCTCAGTGGCTTAGGTTGGTACAACTTGTATGGAGCCCGTGCCCTGAGTTCAATGACTAGAGAAGAGGCAAACTAACTCTCCCACTGAACATAAATGAGCAAGTATGTAGCCCTGGTTGCTGTCATCTTGCTTTTATGAGCTAAATCAATTTTGATGATTTCATAATGGACCAAGGCAGAGTAGAGATAATGGAAAAGAATTAGTCCTTGATTATATATAAAATTAAACTTCTAGATCAAGCTTTGCCTGAAAGCCAAAACATAATTGGATTTTTCAGTTATGCTTCCCAATAATTTTATTACTTAAATCATTATAAGTTTTCTTTTCTTTGCATTGAAGCACGGTAAGTGACATAATAGGTTATAACGGGAATGTATTTGCCCATTCATATTCTCTCAACTCACTGTTTCTTGTCTACATTAATCTTTGATTTCATCCTAAGGTTCATCCCTGAACTGGCCATTTTCCATTCTCCTAGCTAGGTGACGCAAAGGTGGCTCAAGACTTCTATCCTGATTCTCATTAAATCTAATTTTTCATATAAATATTTTTTAATCGACTCTAGAATAAGCCAAGTAATTGAGTCTAGAATAGGCTAACAGACTCCAGAAGAGGCCAAATAAGTTACACTATTGAATATAAATGACAATTAATTCAATTTAAAAATTAACTTCCACCTGCCCTGCCTTCCCTATCCTTGTTCTTCATGATAACAAAGTTTAAAAAAATTTTAATTGTAAAAAATACTCTTCCTTAAGTTCATATAAGATTTCCTTTCTCAAGTTAATATAGTAGTTGTTTTGTGACCATTCTAATATCTTTTTTTTTTTTTTAAGATTTTATTTATTTGAGAGAGAGAGCATGTGTGTAGTGAGAGGGGAAGAGGGGGAAGGAGAAGCACAAGCAGACTCTGTGCTGATCACAGAGCCCCATGCAGGGCTGGATCTCATGACTCTGAGGTTATGACCTGAGCAGAAACCAGGAGTTGGCTGCTTAATGGATGGGATCACCCAGGTGTCCCACCACTCTAGTATCTTTAAATTATCCAGTTAATTGCTTCTACTTTCTCTTTAATTTCTGTGTAAGGATTGTTGTCTTTTTGGCCTATGACTTTTAATTCAGTATATTCAATAAAAAATGAAATTTAGCCACAAGAGATATTCAGTTTCTCCAGGCTCAATCATTTTCTCATTAACTTTGCTTTTATACTCCCTTTCACCCTTGCCCAGCCATCTTTATGATGTTTCTATAGTAAAATATCTCCATCCACACTTACTGATGTTTTATGGGTCGTTGAAAGATTTATTAGAGACAATTTAAGTATGTTTAACATTAGCCTCCAACATGGAAATAATTGACAAACTATTTTTGACATTGTGTGCCACCTGATGACTGAGGAAAAACAGTGATGGGGAGATAATTGTTAATGGTATGTAGTGACTGTCTGGCCAGGGAGAGCTGAAATTGAACTGGTGCTCTGAGCATTGGGCCCTGGGACAGGGCCTGCATCAGCTCGGAGGAAGAGTCTTCTTTCTCTAATTGAACTCAGAGGAATTGCCTTTTAAAAATTAGCACAAAGTCCTCAACAAAGTAGGTTTAAAGGGGACATACCTCAACGTAATAAAAGCCTTATATGAAAAACCCACATCTCACCATACTCAATTGTGAATTACCGATAGCTTTCCTCCTAAGATCAGGAATAGCACAAGGATGTCCACTCTCACCAATTTTATTCAACATAGTACCAGAAGTGCTAGCCACAGCATTCAGAGAAGCAAAAGAAACAAAAGGCATTCAAATCGGTAAGGAAGAAGTAAACTTTGACTACTTGCAGCTGACATGATACTACATATCAAAAACCCTAAAAATCCTACCCCAAACTACTAGAACTGATAAATGAATTTAGTAAGGTCACAGGATACAAAATCAATGTATAGAAATCCATTGAAATTCTATACACTAATTGGGAAGCTAAGGAAATAGAAACTACAAAGGCAATTCCTTTCACAATTGCTCCCAAAATAATAAAATATCTGGGGATAAACTAATCAAGGAGGTGAAACACCTGCACTGAAAAGTATAAAACATTAAAAAGAAATTGAAGATGACACAAACAAATGGAAAGATATTTCATGCTAAAAAATTGGAAGAAAAAATATTGTTAAATGTCTATACTACTTAGAGCAATCTATAGATTTAATGCAATCCCTATGAAAATACCAACCACATTTTTCATAGTACTAGAACAAAGGATCCTAAAATTTGTATAGAACCATGGAAGACCCCAAATAGCCAAAATTATCTTGAAAAAGGAAAACAAAGCTAGAGATATTATAAGTCTGTATTTCGAGTTATACTACAAATCTGTAGCAATCAAAACAGTATAGTACTAGCACAAAAATAGATGCATAGATCAATGGAACAGGACAGAAAGTCCAGAAACAAACCCCTGATTAAATGGTCAATTAATTTTCAAAAGGAGGCAAGAATATGCAATGGGAAAAAGAGAGTCTCTTCAACAAATGGTGTTGGGAAAACTGGGCAGCCACATGTAGAAGAATAAAGCGGGACCACTATCCTACATCATACACAAAAATAAACTCAAAATGGATTAAAGATGTAAATGTGAGATCTGAAACCATAAAAATCCTAGAAGAGAGCACAGGAAGTAATTTCTCTGACATCAGCCACAGCAACATTTTTCTAGATATATCTCTTAAGGTAGGGGACATAAAAGTAAAAATAAACTATTATAGTATATCAAAATGAAAAGTTTGTGCACAGTAAAGGAAACAATAAACAAAACTAGCAGGCAACCTACTAAAGGGAAGAAGATGTTTGCAAATGACATATCTGATAAAGGGTTAGGATTGAAAAAAATATAAAGAACTTATATAACACAACCCAAAAACCAAATTATCCAATTTAAAAATGGGCAGAAGACATGAATAAACATTTTTTCAAAGAAGACATAGAGATGGACACATGAAAAGATGCTCCACATCACTCATCATCAGGCAAACATAAGTCAAAACTACAACGAGATATGACGTCACACCTGTTGGAATGGCTAAAATCAAAAACACAAGAAACAGGGTGTGATGAAAATGTGGAGGAAAAGGAATCATTGTGAACTGTTGGTGGGAATGCAAACTGGT